AAAAAATTTTTCCAATTAAACTAATTATAATATTTGTTTAATATATGCTATTGTGATAGCAAAGAGTCGTAGTTATGATTTCAGTTGACACTTTTGATTGATAATAGATTTTGACCATTTTTGCATAATTTTCACAACTACTTCAATATTTTTTTTCTCCCTTCCTATTTACTGTATACTACGATGCTGAAACTTGGACCAGATGAAACACTTTTCATATAGAACTTGTCAAAAAAGTTTGATTGAAATCGAATGAGTTTTCATTTTTGCATTTTTGGACCCAGATGCCAACCAGACGCCCCCTTAAGATACTAACAAGGTTAGGTAAGGTCGGTGTTTTCTATGAAGATTTTTAAGGGTATCTATTATGTTTAGTATATCACCTATGCACGTAGTTAATAAGTCAATATTGACTATACGAATTTGCAAGAACTGGTTGAGTGAACATATAGCAGCAGCAGAAGTAGTACCCACATATAATTGGGAAGCAGCAGCAGGAGTGGATGGGGATACCTGGTCGATGGGGTTGATGGGGAAGAATTAGCAGCAGAGGATGGAGAAGAATTAGCAGCAGAGGATGGGGAAGAATTAGCAGCAGAGGATGGAGAAGAATTAGCAGCAGAGTATGGTTAAGAATTAGCAGCAGAGGATGGTTAAGAATTAGCATCAGAGGACGATTAAGAATTAGCATCAGAGGATGAGGAAGAATTAGCATCAGAGGACGATTAAGAATTAGCATCATAGGATAGGGAAGAATTAGCATCAGAGGATGGGGAAGAATTAGCAGCTGAGGATGGGGAAGAATTAGCATCAGAGGATGGAGAAGAATTAGCAGCTGAGGATGGGGAAGAATTAGCATCAGAGGACGATTAAGAATTAGCATCATAGGATGGGGAAGAATTAGCAGCAGAGGATGGGGAAGAATTAGCAGCAGAGGATGGAGAAGAATTAGCAGCAGAGGATGGAGAAGAATTAGCAGCAGAGGATGGGGAAGAATTAGCAGCAGAGGATGGAGAAGAATTAGCAGCAGAGGATGGGGAAGAATTAGCAGCAGAGGATGGGGAAGAATTAGCATCAGAGGATGGGGAAGAATAAGCAGCAGAGGATGGGGAAGAATTAGCAGCAGAGGATGGGGAAGAATTAGCAGCAGAGGATGGGGAAGAATTAGCATCAGAGGATGGGGAAGAATTAGCAGCAGAGGATGGGGAAGAATTAGCAGCAGAGGATGGGGAAGAATTAGCAGCAGAGGATGGGGAAGAATTAGCAGCAGAGGATGGGGAAGAATTAGCAGCAGAGGATGGGGAAGAATTAGCAGCAGAGGATGGAGAAGAATTAGCAGCAGAGGATGGAGAAGAATTAGCAGCAGAGGATGGGGAAGAATTAGCAGCAGAGGATGGGGAAGAATTAGCAGCAGAGGATGGGGAAGAATTAGCAGCAGAGGATGGGGAAGAATTAGCAGCAGAGGATGGGGAAGAATTAGCAGCAGAGGATGGAGAAGAATTAGCAGCAGAGGATGGGGAAGAATTAGCAGCAGAGGATGGGGAAGAATTAGCAGCAGAGGATGGAGAAGAATTAGCAGCAGAGGATGGAGAAGAATTAGCATCAGAGGATGGGGAAGAATTAGCAGCAGAGGATGGGGAAGAATTAGCAGCAGAGGATGGAGAAGAATTAGCAGCAGAGGATGGGGAAGAATTAGCATCAGAGGATGGGGAAGAATTAGCAGCAGAGGATGGGGAAGAATTAGCAGCAGAGGATGGGGAAGAATTAGCAGCAGAGGATGGGGAAGAATTAGCATCAGAGGATGGGGAAGAATTAGCAGCAGAGGATGGAGAAGAATTAGCAGCAGAGGATGGAGAAGAATTAGCATCAGAGGATGGGGAAGAATTAGCAGCAGAGGATGGGGAAGAATTAGCAGCAGAGGATGGAGAAGAATTAGCAGCAGAGGATGGGGAAGAATTAGCAGCAGAGGATGGGGAAGAATTAGCAGCAGAGGATGGGGAAGAATTAGCAGCAGAGGATGGGGAAGAATTAGCAGCAGAGGATGGGGAAGAATTAGCAGCAGAGGATGGAGAAGAATTAGCAGCAGAGGATGGGGAAGAATTAGCAGCAGAGGATGGGGAAGAATTAGCAGCAGAGGATGGGGAAGAATTAGCAGCAGAGGATGGGGAAGAATTAGCAGCAGAGGATGGAGAAGAATTAGCAGCAGAGGATGGGGAAGAATTAGCAGCAGAGGATGGGGAAGAATTAGCAGCAGAGGATGGAGAAGAATTAGCAGCAGAGGATGGAGAAGAATTAGCATCAGAGGATGGGGAAGAATTAGCAGCAGAGGATGGGGAAGAATTAGCAGCAGAGGATGGAGAAGAATTAGCAGCAGAGGATGGGGAAGAATTAGCATCAGAGGATGGGGAAGAATTAGCAGCAGAGGATGGGGAAGAATTAGCAGCAGAGGATGGAGAAGAATTAGCAGCAGAGGATGGGGAAGAATTAGCATCAGAGGATGGGGAAGAATTAGCAGCAGAGGATGGAGAAGAATTAGCAGCAGAGGATGGAGAAGAATTAGCATCAGAGGATGGGGAAGAATTAGCAGCAGAGGATGGGGAAGAATTAGCAGCAGAGGATGGAGAAGAATTAGCAGCAGAGGATGGGGAAGAATTAGCAGCAGAGGATGGGGAAGAATTAGCAGCAGAGGATGGGGAAGAATTAGCAGCAGAGGATGGGGAAGAATTAGCAGCAGAGGATGGGGAAGAATTAGCAGCAGAGGATGGGGAAGAATTAGCAGCAGAGGATGGAGAAGAATTAGCATCAGAGGATGGGGAAGAATTAGCAGCAGAGGATGGGGAAGAATTAGCAGCAGAGGATGGGGAAGAATTAGCATCAGAGGATGGGGGAAAATTATAAGCCAAAGATGAGAAAGAAGTACCAGCAGAGGAAGATAAAATAAAAATTCAAAGAAAGATATCAGTGAGACTAGTCAGGAAATAAAATAATAACAATTATTTAAATTAGGACAGGAAATGAAATGAACAAATAAATTGTACACATCTTGAATAATCTCAATGATTTATTAATCTAAGATATGTATTTGAAGTACATTCCTTGGTTACCTTTACCTTTCTAAGAGTATAATACAACATTTTCAAGATCTTGAATCTGATCAATAAGATGTTGCATGAAACAACAACAAAATTGTATTTATTCTTCTAATTTAAAGTTGATTTAAAAATTTGTTTACTGAAATTCCACTCAAAGAGACTTCTTGACCTTTTTACCATCTTCTATTATTGTGACTAGAAATCCACAGCCAGAAAACAGTGAATGACGTCTAAGTTCACTAGCCCTAATTTTACGGTGGAAATGCAGGCCTTTCAGTGTCGTAATGCCAACCATTCGTAATATAAATAAGAGAGAGACCTTCCAATGCAATGCTGTGATGCCAAACATTCCAAATTTGAACTCGATAAACTAACACTTTGATAAAAAGTTTTTTTTTATTATTAAAACTTTTATTTCATTTTTGGTTGACCTTGCAAATCATTACTACCCTCATTGTACCATCTGTTTTAAAACGTGGCTGCATAGGATTAAATTTATCCCTCAGGCAAAGCACTGCAACCATTAGATAATTTAAGCACTTTACCTGATAACAAAAACAAAAATTAATTCAAAACTTTAACTGGTTAAAAAAGGCCAAGTACTGAAACCTTTTGGTCATTGAGCACTTCATCTGACAAAAAAAAAAAGTCCAAGTATCGTAACGTTTTTGTTCATACAACTATTTGCTTGCTAACAAGAAAAGGAAAAGCATTGTAACCTTTGGTTTTCAGGCACCTTAACTAGCTATATACAATAATAATGACAATAATAACAATAAAAATAAAATCTTTTGGTTATTAAGCACTTCCAAAAAGTTTGTTGTAATGGCTTGATACAAGGTAACAAGGAAAAGGTAACTTAGGTCATCAGTAACAACACTCGAGCATAATATTAACGGCAACTGCTGTAAGGTTAAATCAAGAACAAATACCCTTTGGTGTGGGGTCATGGCCTTTTGTCCAAACAAAAATTAGGAGCTGTAATTAGTACCTGACTCTTTGTATTTAGGTTGTATTTGAGGCTTGTATTTACTTGTAATTGAGGCTTGTACTTACTTGTATTAGTACCTGACTCTTGTATTTTATTGCAAATCAACTGATTATGAAAACCCACTTTTAAGACCCCTGATATTGGATTTAATTATCCAAATTCAAAGTACAATAGAATTAGATTTCACTTTAGTTTACAAATTTATTTTGTGTTAATTCAAGATTAAACAAATTTAAAATAGTATTATTTAAATATTTTGATTAAAGTGATAATCTTGTACTGTTACTTTTAGAGCCTGTCGTCCATCAGTAAAGAAGACCGAGGCTTGTTGCAGTGTGGAGAAACATCACATAATGTCATACCAAAAATCATGACACATGATTGCAAGATATTTTGTTTCGATGATTTTTAACTCCCAAAAAATTTAATCATGCATGTTTTATAACAAAAACACTGGGTGCTTTTGAAGTAATCATTCAATGTATATGGGCCTTTCAAAGCTTTAAATCAAACAAAAACAAGCGATTCTTTGTATCCCGCAGCAAATTATTTTGACGCAGTACTTTTGTTAAAATACTTTGAAGCATAATATTTACAACCCAATGAACCCATTTTTGTAATTTTGTATGTTGCTTCAGCAATGTGGAATTTATCAAGAGTACCGGGATTTTCAAATTAATGTATTTAAAATTTATATTCAAAATTCTATGAAAATAAAGAACTGTATTTTCAGTGACATTTCATCAACTTTTTAAATAGACTAGTATGCCCAAGGCATAGCAGAATTTTAGTGGTTTCTTCCCCCCCTTGTAAAGTAAAAAAAAACATGTGAATAAACGGACACCAAACGCCCCCAAGGACATAGACTGGCATCATGACGCCACCCCACAAGGGTTAAAAATGACCATAACACTCACCGCTTGTTGAGATGCTGGATCATCACCACCAAAGAGGTTGTGGGGGAAACCAGCTTCCCCCTCTTCTCCCCAGCTTAACACTGGAGGAGCCTGCAAAGAGGGGAAAAAGGCTATGTTATAAGATGACAAAATACAACTTCGATAATCAACTACTTACTGGTACTGTGAGCCATCACTGTTTACACCACATGTGCCACAGACCCTCTGCCAAGTTTTATCAAACATACAGCTGTCACATGCCAAAAACAACTGTCACTTCCAAATTGCATCCCTCAAAATAAGCAACACAAAATGATTTAAGAAATTGAGCCATTAACTAAACATACAAAAGAAATATTGCATTAAAAATAACAAGAAGCCACATGCTTTATCTGGTTGATACCTGGTTGATGGGGTTCTGGGAGTTGTTCTACTCCCTAAGCGTGGCCCGAGGCCAGGCGTTATGATTTTCTCAAATCAAACTTCATTTTTGTATCCATACAGAAAGTGTACTGTTACAGTGTTCTCAAAATGCCAAAGCTCATTATAACAGAAACTCGATTATTTCAAAAAGAGCTAAAAGAATTCAAAGTCAGAACACTGATTCCAACAATCATATGTATGCACAGTGTATCTTGAGGTTATCTTAAGATGATTTTTTTTTCTTTCTTTTTTTTTTTTGGTGTCCCCGCGGCCTGGTCCTTGACCAGGCCTCCACCCCCAGGAAGCAGCCCGTGACAGCTGACTAACACCCAGGTACCTATTTTACTGCTAGGTAACAGGGGCATAGGGTGAAAGAAACTCTGCCCATTGTTTCTCGCCAGCGCCTGGGATCGAACCCAGGACCACAGGATCACAAGTCCAGCGTACTGTCCACTCGGCCGACCGACCGGTGTATGTACATGGGATGGCATATTTTATCTATGTTTATATCTACTAACCCCCTATCACAATTCAGTAATTGGTTGAGCCAAGACACTAACTAATTTCGGAAGAAAAGCAAAACAAGGTACTGCAGCAAGAGTACGGAAATGGAAGAACAGAATCAGTGAGGAGTGGAGGTGCCAGAAAACACAGACATCAGAGGTCCGCGGTTGTTCAATACTCTCCCAGCAAGCACAAGAAATATTGCCAGAACAAAGGGCAATTTCAAGAAGCAATTAGGTACGTTTCTGTAAGAAGGTTGTAGCGGACATGCGGGCCTGCAGGCCGTGCCAAGCACCAATCTTTTGGACCAAGTTACAGTATCACACACTCTACAGTAATAGGGTAGTGAGTGAGTGCAAGGAAGGTTGAGGGCTGGGGAGCCCCAGATTTTTTGTGATTTGGGAGGGATAAACAAGCAATATCATTGTGAAAAAGTGCACAATAGTGAATGTCTGGCACAAACAGTAATCAAAAATGTTAAAGAATGCAGGAATAATGTTTTTTTTTTTAAATACATAGTGTAGAAGCACATGGTGATTAGTGAGACAGGGTGAGGAAAGTACCTGACTCGAGGTAAGGTGCAAGGAAGTAAGACAACCACCAACTCAACCAAGGTTTGTATGAAGAAAATCTTTCTTAAGTTTAAAATTACAACACAAAGCCCACTACATAAGATATCACCTATACTGTGAAATAATATCGTACTGTACAGTTTAGTTGAAATAAATAACTAAGGCCACTTCAGCGTCCTGTACGAAATTATTTACTGATTATTTAACACGGGTGGTACACGCACAAGGGGACACAGGTGGAAGCAGAGTACCCAAATTAGCCACAGAAACATTCAACAGCCCAAATGAGCCACAGAGACATTAAACAGAACTTTTTCAGTGTCAGAGTAATTAGTAAATGGAATGCACTAGGAAGTGATGTGTGTGTGGAGACTGACTCCATACACAGTTTCAAATGTAGATATGATTGAGCCCAGTAGGCTCTATCTTATCAGTAGGAGCCCAGATGACAGTAGGTTCAGGAATCTGTACATCAGATACATCGGTTAAGAGGTAGGACTAAAGAGCCAAAGCTCAACCCCTGCAAGCACAACTAGGTGAGTACTGTTCAACACGCTTCCACTACACATAAGGGGCATAACTGGCAAACCCCTCACAGTGTTCAAATACGCATGACTTTGAACGTTTCAGATTAATAAATCATTTCTAAAACTGGTGTTTAAATAACTATTATCCTAATTAAACTAAACTAAATAAAACCAAAAATATACTGTAATATGATAGATATCTGCTATTTGAAAAATTATTCATGTTATTAGCAGCTCACAAGTCCAGCGCGAGTGGACAGGTCTATTCCGTGTGCACACCACCAGCGTGTTTCATTCGATTTCGTCGCCATAGTTCAGTGACTTACGGCTTCGAAATAATAAAATTAATAAATCAGTTCCTCCACCTAAAGCTCTAACATCACACGTTATAACACAAAAGGAATTGCAGGCAAAGTAAAATGATCAACTTTCTAACAACAGAACCCAGAGTGTATAGTCAACAAAGTAAAATCTGGATCATCCACAGTGAAAAGCTCAGTCCCCCAGTACCATGCATGCTCCAGTACTTTTCTCATCCTCATATCAGACATAGACAAGGATACAAACTATAGTATTGTATGACATTAGAAATTTCATCAGAGTAGAAAATACAAAGGACACAGCAAATCTCCAATCAGATGTTAGTAACCTTCCAATGGGCCACAGTAAACAACATTGTGTTTAATGACAATAAGTTCCAGTTACTGCGCTAAGGAAAAAATTAAAATATCAAAACAGAAACCACTTATAAAATGCCGCCAAACTGTGACTCGTACATTAGGCTGCGAGCAACTGCATAAAAACAGCCTAGTTGACCAGACCTCCAACCAGGAGGCCTGGTCAAAGGCTGGGCTGCGGGGACATTGATCCTCGGAATCATCGAAAAGCAAACTAAATGTATGAACCTTCCAGTTACTTGAAGAAAAAAAGCATGGCTAATACTGTATCTCAATACTGTATACCAGAAATGCGATGCACAGAATTGCTTTTTCCCGAGGACAGCAAATGTTCTGAAAAATATTCCTTGAAAAATATTTTCTGAAAAGCATGCAGTAACGAGGAATTCCCTCATTACTGCATGCTCAGACATTTCAGAGAAACGCAAACGAAAAGTAATGGGCACCCAGGAATGTAGACACACAGGTGGACTACAAAATGAAAACACAGTGTTAGAGTACAGTTGATCAGTGTGAGCACAGATCCAGGTGGACAAACAAATCCAACACAAATCCTGAGCAACAACAGGAATATGTAATATCTCCACCTAAATCTATCAGCAATGACCCAACACAGTGTAGTGCAGATAAACTACGATTAATCACAGCATGAACTTGGAACCTGCCAATATTTCCACCCAAAACTGTGTAAAAATTCATTAAACAAGAAGGCATGTCTTACAAGAGCTTGAGCATTCTATATCATAGAATGATATTTGATATAGCAAGAGCATTCTATGCTCAACCAAGTGAATAAAATCAAAAGAATGCCATCATGAATACAACATCCATACAAACCAGGGTAATTTTTTTAGGAGAAAGAAGAAAAGACTGGCAAGAAACATAAACTCTTCCATCAACTTAGTCAAAGACTAGACATAATACAATGTGGCACTCCAACAAGAACCACAGATATTGACAATAAAATAAAATATCCTCCACTTCCACAAATACGAAAACATGTTTTGTATTTCCAAACATACAAGGTATCAAAACACTCAAAATGAACAAAGCCCACCCTATAACTGGCATCTTAAATGAGGCAAATGCAATGTTTGCCACTTTAACTGAAACTCACACAAAGGAATATTGGCTGTGAGATATGAATACCAGAATACAATAATTTCAGATGTGATAGGAAACAGACTACAGGATGGGATCAACCTGTACATAAAAGACACACTCATCTGCACTGTGCTGTTAAAATCTACAAAGAACAGAATACATAGATTTGTTCATTTGATATATCATGCTATTGTGATTATTGTGTGTATCAAAGAAAAGGATTCAAAATGGCAACCAAGAAATGCATAAATGAGAACAAAACCAGGTCACAAAACAAACCATATGGGACAAGACAAAAGGCAGCCCACAGAGCCCAGAGCCAGAAAAACAAACCCCAAGGCTGCCCATAAAGTCCAGCAAGAGGAACAGTCCAGGGTCAAATAAGTAGGCAAAGAAAAAAAAACAATAGGAGACACCCTAATTAGATGAAAACAGGCCAGTGTGGGAGAGACCCGCTTGAAAACGGGAATAAAGTGGGAACTCGCCAACGGAAGAAAACCCAAACACCCAGCAACCAACCACCTCTCGAAGACTGAACACAGCCTGAGAGAAGCCAGCTCAGGGGCACAATGCTATAATGCCAAAAAGGGAGGGTCCAAATATATGGGAAGCTCAAAAGTCACTTTACCATACTACAGTACTGTACTTTATTAATTAACACAATCAAGTAAACAAAAATATTAATACATGAACAAAATTAATAATGTATTTTTAATAATTTTGTTAATGTATTATTTTTTATTTTAACTTTTTAAACTTTAAAGTGCGCATCACATCTTATGACGTGTTGGACGTTGTTCCAGTCAACTGCACATCACGTCATATGATGTGTTGGAGTACTACGCAAGATTTAAACGGCCCGCGGATACACGGGGTTCACCACACCTTCATCAGGGCTCTTGTAAACAGACGCCATTTTTAAAAAAAATCGTGGGCCAAACTCCCGGGCAACCAAGCCTGACGCATGCAGCATGAGCTAACAGCACTGCTGTTCAGCTTGTGACCACAGCATCGCCTAAAAATGCCAAAATATACTTGTTCATGCTATTATGTAGCGATGATATTATTACAGAAGACCCCTGACTGTGATAAAACTAACCAGGGTTCTGATAATAGCAGGATTGTGGTGATATTTAGTGCTGTGCGCCATGGAGAGAGGAGTAATGCTGTGGGAGGGAGGGTGGTGGCGATGTCTTCTGACTGTGTGGCCACCTTTTATTGACTGCACTCAGCATACCAGCTTAGTGGTTCGCTATGGTGAACACAAATGTAGATACTTATATATAACGTGTGTATAGAGAGAA